TTCCTTCCTTCCTTCCTTCCTTCCTTCCTTCCTTCCTTCCTTCCTTCCTTCCTTTCATTTGAGGATGGGAGAGCTATGCTTTAGGAGCACGTGCCCAGTGGGAAACCGGGAGTCTGGTTGCCCCTTTTCAGACTAACGCACTTTATTAAAAAGCTTTCATTTCACCAGACGCATGAAACTGGGAGAAGGTGGGGGAAGGAAAAAGAAGGGAAGAAGGCAGGGTGGCTATGAAGCTGCTGATGCAGATTACCTGTGGGATAACTGATAAAATCATTGTTAATCGATAACGTACTTGCGGTCCGTCCCACACATTCACAAAAGCTTCTGCCTTTTTTGTCGGTCTGAAAAGGCGCTCCCTCTGACTTTGGCTGTCCTAGACGAACGCAGCTCTCTTCCTACAATCGCACAGCTTACACATCTATGCAGGGGAAGGGGAAAACGTTAGGAAACTGAGCCACTCACTGTCATTAGCAGTCTTCTGGACTTGCGCAGCCTGGATAGGTTATCCGCAATATTGTTAGGCTTCACGGTCTGCGTATTTGGGAGCAGATTTCCAGAGAAGTCTGGAGTGTTTGATTCCCTCTCCAGATCAAGCAGTTCAGACTCCCAGTTCAGGGGATTTATTTCTGGAAACTGCTGAACCACTCTTGGGTTGCAGTGACCCGGGGGAAGGTCAGCGTGGTCTGGAGGGAGAACAGAATCGTCAGTGAACGTTGCACTTTCCGGTTGGATCTTCGGAGGTTGACAGCCCGTGTCAAAATGGCAGCAAACCCTTTAAAACAGCATAGGTATCCTGAAGAACTGGAATCGCAGGGGCCACTTTAATTACAATTTCAGAACCAATCAACAGGTGAATTTTGTATTAAGTAATAACGGCCTGGCAAAAGTTTTCAGAACGGACACCATTTCACGGGTGGAATGAAGTGGTTTGGCTGAAAAGGGCGGTTTAGCCTCCTCCTCTCTTCTTTGAGCATCTTCTCCCTTCAAGTTGTCCTGATATTTGTCCCATTAGCACAGATAATGGTAGTAGTAAGAGTGCATACTAAATTTTAATGGGCTTATCAGCAGCTCCATCAGTGACGTCACTTCCTATTTTTCAGCCAATCAGCAGCCCTTCCGGTACGGGGGCCGGAAGTGACGTCACTGGTGGAGCTGCTGATAAGCCCCGTTAAAATTTAGTATGCGCTCTTACTACTAATGGTGCCCGTAGGGAGGGTCAAATAAGGCAAGATGGTGGCCACCGCAACACGATTAAAGCCCTATCCCTTTGTGTGTATGTGCGGTGCCACAAGGGTTCAGTTGTGCTGCTGCAACTCCATCTTGCTTTTTTTGACTCTTGCAGACCCAGCTGACCAGCCGAAAAGAACGTGATTGTACGAACAAGGTAATCCTTGGGACAGCAACTTGTGAAGATCAGTCTAAGCATTTGAGGCATGTTCGGTAGTCACTAAGAGGGCACGTATTGGAGTCCCTGCACAGACTATGGCTAATAATGCCGTCTCTAATGGCCAACAGGTTAAGAAGGTTCACTGAGATAATGGGCCCAGAAGAGAATCTCCACCCCCTGTTTACCCACCCAAGAGAGCAGGCCCTTTGTGAGTGATACCACCTCATTTCCCTCAACAGACTTCTGTGAAGCTCGGTTTGGGGCACTCGGTAGCTACGAAAGCTAAGCACAGCCACCTCCTTAATGTTGAGGTGACCTATCTCTTTCTCTACCGAAAGCAAGCATCTTCAGTGCTCACACTGCTGAGGACTAAAGCACGTTGTGTTTGGTGGAAAGAAAAACTGCGAAGCTCGAAATAATGTCTTTCCAATATTTATGCGTGCTTTGATTTGTTTCAACTAAAATTATTGGATGAGTCACCCACCACTCTTCCTACTGCACACATTCCTAGCACTGTCCTCCCTCCCGCCCTCCCACTGGACCACCCACTACCACCCAGTCCATTAAATTACAATCTGAAAATTATTGTACTTTTTGTCCTGATCATTTATGTACTAACTTCACATCCTCATGTTCCTTCTGGAATTTCTTCATGCCCATCAGTTTGAGAACTTAGACTAGATCTAGATTAGAAGGCCTAAGCATTAGAAATGAAAATAAACAAGTCTCATATAGCAAATAAATATTATGCTGTCATTAACAAAGCAAATGCTTCTGGCCGCAAGGACTGGTTGAACTTCCATTCAAGTATTAATTTTTCTTTCTCCCCACTCTACAGTGATTAACAATGCAATCAGTTGTAAGTTTCTCATCTTGTTCTAGGCTTAGCATTTGGATGAGAGACTGCCAGGAAGTCCCAGGTCTGTAGCTTAGATGGCAGGTTGAAGAAGCACCCCAGAAAAAATTAATAGCAAACCACTTTTGCCCCCTTGCCCCAAAAACTGGATAGATAGGTCTGCAAAGTCAACAGGAGTTAAGTTCAACTTGAAGGGATTTGGTTTGTTTTGTTATAGAACAAGCAAAAAGCAGCCTAAATGAGCCAAAGATGACTAGAATAAGATGGGCTGTGTACAGGTAGTCCTCAGTTAACGATGGTAATCAGGACTGGCAACTGTCGCTAAGCGACATGGTCATTAAACACAATATCACGTGACTGCTCCGACCTATGATGGCAGTTCCAGCAATTCCAGTTGCTGTTGTTAAGTGAATTCCATGCAGTCATTGGGTGCAACGTTATGTGATCGCCATTTGTGACCTCCTACTGGCTTCCCCATTCACTTTGCTTGTTGGAAGTTGGAAGTGAAGGTCACAAATAGCGACCACGTGACACGGGATGCTGCAACCATCATAATTGCGAACCAGTTGCCAAGTGCCCGAATCGTGATCATGTAACCATGGGGATGCTGCGATGGCCACAACTTCGAGGAATGGTGATAAGCCCCCTTGTTCAGTGCCATCATAATTTCAAACGGTCGCTGAACAAATAGTCATTAAATGAGGACTACCTGTACTTCAGATTTCTAAATAAATGATGATAAATTTTGTATTCCATCTTCTTCCCATCCTAATGTGTCTGACCATATTCTGACTATGACCTTCCATTTATTTGGAAAACAGCTTACTGGATTTATGTCTATGAAGAAATAAGCTTTTCTTTTTTAAAATATACTATATCCTAGAGAATATCTGCCTATATGGTCTCTAAGAATCAACATAATCATCAAACATCAAGTTTTTATAAACCCCAGCATGGTATTCAAGATCTATTAACAGAAGACAGCGTCAGCTTTTTTGAAAAGTGCTGTTATTTAGATCTGTAAACCATGGAACAGCTACAATTCTTACTGGGCAATTGAACCAATTAACTGAAGCTTTTCACAAGTTGAACTCAACTCCATGGACATATCCACGTTGTTTTCTTGGTCACACTATGGTTTGCCATTACTATTTTCCTGGATTTCCTTCCTTCCTTCCTTCCTTCCTTCCTTCCTTCCTTCCTTCCTTTTTGGTCTATAGCCGTGGCGGCTATACATTCCATTAATTTCCTAAAGTTAATAGCTACATTTATCTGCCTTGGATGAAATCCAGCACAGCTATTAATGGTGCAAGAGACATGCCCTCTTTTTAATCCCGCCTCTTTAATCTCTTCTGGAACACTAATTATCACAAAAAAGTCCTGGAATTAAAAAAAAAAAAATCAGAAAAGAAAACAAGAAGCACAGAAGAGAGCATACAAAATTAAAAATTTCACTTTAAAAAAGATGGCCGTTAGTAAAAGAAAGTCAGTGCTATCTCTCTAATCTTGACTGGGTTTCTGAAAATTTGCAAAAATGGCAAGTTCCAGGCACAGATATTTGCCAATACCCTCCCATAGTCTCAGGAGGACCAATAAAGAGCGTTGGAGGCGAGGAAAAGGTACCGGAGGGCAGAGGTTTGTCTATCACACACCTGCCCTGCAACAATCTGTTGGCTTTGATGCACACAGTGTAGGGGAGCAACTTCGTCCCCAACAAAAGAATGGGGGCCGTTTCTGAATACGCCTGCTGTTTGATCCTACAGGTTCCTGTTCTGCATCCTCCTTAATTTTCAACATGTTCTGAAAAACTCCAGTTCTGCCATCACGTAAAAGAGATGCAAAATTCAGTGGAGAAACTTCATGTGTTCACAGAAGCCTCTCTTGTATATTGTGAAAGCTTGTTACATTTGTAAAAGCATTTACTAGCATTCAAGAATGCTGTGTGCTCTGTTCCTTTTTTACTTTTTCATTTAATTCTGCACAAATGGCATGATATCGTATTTATCTCAGTCCTGAGATACGCTTTTCTACAGGAGTGATGATTATGTTTTTTAATAGCAAAAACTACCCCACTGTCATGATCATAATCCCTTTTTGCAAATTTTTTTCACCTGCTCAGCCCCATCAAATGCTCTCTTTCCAAATTCATATTTGGTACCGTCACTGAGCAGGCCCATTTAAAAGAAAAGGACTACCAGCATTGATCAATGAACACACATTTGTCAATATATATTTTTTTCCTGGTGGAGAAAGAAAGAAATGACTGAACACGTGTCAGTCAATATATACACACAATTTTCTAGCATTTCAAATCTGCCAGTGCCCTCTAGTTTTACCAACTTTAAATTAATCATCTCTTGTATACATTCATCAATATGTTTTTATCTGCTAGGGCTGGAACCTCAGCTAAGAGTGGACCCATCTCCAGATTTTTATGGCTATAGCTAAGGAAATGCACGACACTATAAGTGGCTAGTTTTCTTTCAGATAATTACAAAACTGAGTTATATTGCAGGATACTGTAGTCAACTGAGAGCAATCATTAAAGAAGATACAACAGACAATGAAATAATAATAATAATAACCACAACCTACATTCTGTGACAATACCTTTAATATTATTAAACAAGAACATCTACCTATCCCTGGTCCTTGGGAAGGACTCACTAGATGGGCAAAAATGCCAAATCCAGTCTAAACATCTGGCTGACTGGGCGACCAACCATAATAATTTGCTTCCTTCCTTTCAGTGAAGACAAGAAACTCCTAACTGCATCCCTAAAACATTCGAGCCATGACTGGAAAATCAAAAATCAATACAAGATGTGCAGATTTCAACTCAGCCCAAGGCCCAGGTCTAGAAGATGCCAGCTCAATCTCAGAACCTGTTTTCCATCTTAACCTTCCTTTCTGGATCAAGTAGAGAGTAGGGGAAGCATATGAAATATACCTTTACCTTCCCTTCAAATAACCATCAGGTTATTCTTCTGTCACGGACACAAGTTATAAGGATTGGATGCGTGTATGCAATACAGCCCCGAGCAAACCCTTTTTTAAAAATCCTCCACAAGGAGGGGGAACAAAATCACACACACACGAGTAAAAGGAAAAAATAAAATAAGCTTTCAGAATCACTGAGTCCAGTGTATTTCCCAGCTACTGACTGGGTTTCTTTCAGAGCTCTTCTCTTTCTTTCTTTAGAATAAAACCGGATAATTGCTCCAGTTTTGTTTTACCAGGTTTCCTGCCTCTTCCCCTCCTGCCTTTGTCGCTCTTCTAATCTTCACATAATCACCTTTGTTATTTGCCCAAAGACACGCTTCTAAAATAAGATTTCAGGCAACGGTAGGAGGAGGAAGAAGAGACGGTGCGAGCCTTACCTTCCTTCCACACCCTGAGATTTCACGTCCAGATTTGCCAGAGCGCTTGAAGGAGGATTCTGAAAAGATGCTCAGGAGTCAGAGAGAAAACCCGAACAGCATCGAGAGTTTTTAACTTCCCACGGGGTCCTGTCTTCGGGGAATGAAGCTGGGGAAGGAAACCAAACAAGATCAGAGCTCATGCTTTTCCCCGTGACGGTGACAGGGAAAACCCCAAACCCCTCTTTAATGCTTCCCCACCCCATTCCCCCCACCCCGACAGCAAGGGAACAAAATGGAGACCAACCACAAGGGACCGTGATAATCCTGTGTGTTTCATCAGATTAGAGAAACAAGGGGAGGAGAGAGGGAGAAAAGGGAAAGGGGCCGTTAAAAGCAATGGAGCTGAAGCGGCGAACACAACCAGGCCACCAATTTGGGGCATCGTGAATTTGGGGCAGCCAATGCCAGGGAGAGGAGCCGCGCCTGGAGCAGCAAAAGGTTTTGGGAACAAAGAAGAGTCGAAGGCTGGGCCTGGGAGACTTTGGGGCTCTTCCACACAGAAGAGCAGTTCCAAGGTGGGATCGCGTGAGGTGATGCTGGGACCACACGGACCTTTCGTGCCCCAGTCAAGCAAGCAAACAGCCACACTTGAAGCAGTAGCATTTGTGGCCTTGTGATCTGAGGGGACGCTGGACCTCCCTGTCTCCTAGCCACAGGGGACCTCACCATCAAGTAGCAGAAGAAGGAGGAATGCAGTGGTGGCCGTCTTAGCAACACCTGCAGTTTTAATCTTGTTTACTTTTTAAAAAAAATTAGAAGGAAGGAATTAGTGTTTGGGTACAAAAAAGAGCGGGGAGGATGAGGTACTAGCTAGAGCTTTCAAGCCCTGATTGCCTTATACTTCTCTGGGGTCAGTGATAGGTCCCCAAAGGCAAGTGCTGAATGGCTGTTTTTTCTCATCTTTGAAGCCTCTGTGACTTGGCTCTGGATATCTCCAGGACCACCTCTCCCATCAAGATCTGCAGGGAGAGATTGCTGAGGGTCCTCATCCCATGTGGGGAGAAAGGAGTGGGGGCCTAAAGTTGTCCCCATGCTTTGAAACACTTTGCATCCCGAGATGTGGAGTGCCCTGAACACCTCACCTGTTCCAAATAGTGTAAGACCTGGCTATTCCACGCAGCGTTGGTGGTCTCTTAGTGTGGGGCTGCCTGTTAGATAGACTGTTTGGCTTATTTTCGCCTGTTTTGGTTACATGCCGTAATAGACGGTGTGGGCAGCTAGAGACGCTTCTGGATGAAAGATGGAAAGCAACCACCTTGAACAATAAAGTAAGTTCAAAAATGCTACCAAGAAACGTGAGAGGAAAATCTCAAGCTGTCTTGACAGAATATACATCTTTTGCACAGGAGGAAAAAAAAACCCTTTGAGAAATTGCAAGGCATAATTTGATTACATGCCATCAAATCAATGTCAACTTTTTGTGAGCACTTTGATGGATTTTCTGCAGGACAATCTGTCCCGAACATGGTCTTCCAGATCTCCGTGGTCCACCCATTGCTGCTGTAATGGAGTCCCACCTTACTGCTCGTCATCCTTTTCTTCTCCTTCCTTTCACTTTTCCCAGCATTATAGACTTCTCCAGAAGTCTAGATCTTCAAATATTATGTCCAAAGTATGACAATTTGAGCCTGGTCATTTGTGCCTTGAGTTCTTACTCATCTGGTTGATTGGCTCAATGATCTATTTGTTTGTTTTCTTGGCTACTCATGGTATTCTCCCCTAGAAGCAGAGGACTCCCACCTAGGTTAGGCTATGGCACGTGTATAAGTAGTATAGTGGCTTTGCCTCTGTAGCCATCCATTTACAGAATATTTCCAATGAAACTTCCCCAGAGGACAAACTTTGGCCTGACACCACCACTTGCTGATCATAGTAGGTGAAGCACATGGAGTGTTTCCAGATGGACAGGTTCTAAACCCAGCAACTAAAGGGCATTGTGCAAAATGTTTGATCTTTCCTTCTTGCCCCACATGGAGGAAGAGGAGGAAGAGGAAGAGGAAGAGGAAGAGGAAGAGGAAGAGGAAGAGGAAGAGGAAGAGGAAGAGGAAGAGGAAGAG